CCCCGCCGTACCGTCACTTCCGGTCTCCCCAACCTGCCACCGAAAGCCAGTTCCGTTTCCCCGATCGTATTTGGAGATCTCGAGGCAGTACTTCCGGCTCCCCCCAGGTCCTCAAAATTTACTTTTGGAGGGCGTGATGAGCAAGTCCGCGGCCCCTAACAGTGAGTTCCTGGGGAAAACACTAAAGCACCGCCCCCCATTGGCTCTGCGCTTGGCCGGGGCGGCTCGCAGGAGGCTGTTACAAACGCCTAAAGGAAAGAAGAAAATGCCGTGAGATACGCTGGCCTCGAGCGAGGCTGTGGGCGGTCGTTTGGGCCGGGCGTTTGCAGCCTGGGGATTGCCTCGATAATCTACGTTTAACGGCCTGGCGGCCAGCGCTCTCCGGGCGGCACTGCCCTGGCCACCTAAGGCTCTCGGGCGCCCCTGGCGGTGGCCGCGCCCTCCGCTCTGCGCCCCGGAAGTCACCCGGTCCCTGGCGGTTCCGGGAGGCTGGAGGGCCGGTCAGACCAGGGTCGGGTTCTGTAGGGAGGGCGCCTGCAGACTGTAGGCTTCACGTTCGTCAACGGCGCAGTGCGGCCGAGGGGACACGGCATATTTTAGGAAAGCTAAACATGCCACCTCTTTTCAGGACTTTCGTCAAGCACCAAGGCATCTTCCACGCTGGGAGGCTGAGGCAGGAGGATTGCGAGTTCGAATTTATCTGGGGGGCTTAGTGAAACTCCATCTGAAAAATTAGAACAGGGCGGGGATGTAACGCAGTACAAAAGCCCCGGACGGAAAAGGGGGTCGGGAGAAAGGGAGCCTCCGAATTGATACCAGAAGTCTGACTGGACTGACACTTGAAGCGGGTTCCAGGAGGCTGGGGGATTACATCCTTTTGCTCTCTACCCAGCCTTTCCCAGCCTCCTGTTTGTAACCAGGTGCCAATATTGTTGAGTTTCAGTAAACATCTGTTCAGTGAGTGCTTGCTTTGTATCAGCCATTGAGTTTACACGTGTAATCCCAGCGATTGGGAGGCAGAGGCAGAAGCCTGAACTACGAGGTGAGACCCTGTCTCAAAACACCAGTAATGTGGGCTGGGGATTTAGTTTAGTGTTTCCGCCACCTGCCCTTCAAGCACCAGTGATAATAATAATAACAGTAATAATGCATTGAGCCTTTCAACAGCCGAGCCTGGCATTAATTTCCATTTAATAACTGAGTACATGGGAACCTATGTAGCAGAACTGACAAATTCAGACCTATTGCCTTTGGATTGAGCTCTTCTACTTTACTGCCCAAAAACTGTTGCACTTTAGTTTTTTATTATAAAACATTTCAAGGGCTGGGGAGTAGCTCAGTGGCAGAACACTTACCTTGCAAGCAAAATGCCCTGGATTCCAACCCCTCCCCTGGGAAAATAAAAATATTTGAACACTATCCCCAAAATAAAATAGTATAATTAAATGCTATTCTCATGGGCCATAGTTTGTTTCAACTAAATCACGAGCTGGTAGCAAGTTTTACCTCTCGGGACAAATCTTTCTGTGGCAGCTAATGAGTTAAGAATAATCTGTTGCTAGGCATGGTGGCTCATGCCTGTAATCCCAGCACCGTGGAGGCTGAGGCAGGAGGATCACTGTGCATTCGAGACCAGCCTGGGCTACATAGTTCCAGGTCAGTCTCAACTACATAGTGAGACCCTGTCTCAAAAAAAAAAAAAAAAAAAAAAAAGGAATAATCTATTAAGGAAAACTTGTGGCAGTAACTGCTCAGCGCTCTCCAGGGACTCTCTCCACAAGTCTGCCCACCATTGAAGATGTACTACCCACCCGGAACTGTAATGGGTGCTTTGCAGACATTCCTATTAATTGCAGCGGATATTTAGACTTAACCACATGCCAGTCTGTGCTGGGTGCGTCCTCTGAGGTTGATGATTTGCCCATTTTACAGACAAAAAAGTAATAGGTAGAGACCTGGCCCCAGGTCTAATTCTGCCTGACACCACTGTCTGGCCTCTTTAACCATTAGATTATGTACCTTTTTTTTTTTTTTTTTTTTTTTTAGGCAGGGTCTCACTATGTAGTTTAGGCTGGCCTTGAACTTGCAGCGATCCTCCTGCCTCAGCTTGCCAAGTTGCTGGGATGACAGATGTGCGCCAGAACATCCAACTGAACCCTTGTTTTGAAACAATAAACATCGAGTAAATGAACTCATGTCAACAAGCTTGTGTAGGTTGTGTACATACTGTTTCCCAATTACTGTAACATAAACTTCAGAAAAGTCCACCATGACTCTGTGACTGGTTCATGGTTCATACCTATTTTGAAATACTATCAGGCTGGGCGGGCCTGGTGAGGCATGCCTGTAATCCCAGCATTTAGGAGGCTGAGGCAGGATTGCCGTAAATTTGAGGCCAGCCTGAACTAATTACAGAGCAAAACGCTGTCTCAAAAAAAAAAAAAAAAAAAAAAAAAAAAAAAAAA